AAGCAAATAATCAACCCTATCTTTCCCGGGATGAATTGGATTGTAATGCCGTACATCAAGACGGACAAGGGTACAAGGAACATCGCGCCTGGGAGGGTGGCGAGGAGGCGGTCTTCAGGTAGCCATTTTCCACCTCGCTGTCTGCGTTTGCTGATGATGATTTTATCGGAGATTCGTCCGACTATTGGGGATCCAACTGGTGAACAGAACTGTTAATCGCTGCCATGATATTTACTGTTGGAGTCTTGACTTACGGGTTTTCCCTAAGCCTGAAGGAAGGAAACAGGCTCCGATAAGAGCAGGACTTGTCAATCCATAGCGGGGTCCCTAAAGTAAAGGTTTAAAGTGTCCTTTGATATCTGTGTATAATAATCTTACAATGGTATATGACAGAGGGATGAGCATTACTATTGATAATAAGTTAAGTCGTTCTCGAAACGCGAGACTCTTACCAAAATCCGTCATGAGTGCACACGCGCTCGCAATAGCCTATAAGGTTTATGAAATCCAGCTTCCATACTAATTACCTGGTTGGATTGACTCACCACAAAGGAAACATTCGGTCCTCGGAAAAGCTTTAAGCTTTGGAAGGGATTCAACCAGACCCACTTTGAGCGGTAAGTCCGCCCAGCCAATTCGGCGCCTTCGCGAAGCTTATCCACACCTCTGCTTCCTGGGTGACATGTCTCTGGGAGGAACATTATAACAGAAATCAAACTGCTCAATGACATTCCGAAGATAATTATTTGCATGAGTCTCCAGGATGCGTATGTCGCTGCGATGCCGCCTGTCATTGGTGCGATTGCTGGACCGAGTAGAACTGCCTAAAGAAAATTATTTAGATGATTTTGGATGTGAATTAAATAATCGAGTTACTGTACCCCATAATATGCCCCCATCGCCGTGCCTCGTTCTTCGAGCTTGTAAATGTCCGAGATCGAACTAGGACCGACACTCATGAAACTTGATGCTCCAGATGCCTGCAAAGTACGGCCTATAGCCAATTGTACCACCGATGTCGATAGCGAGACTATTAAAGAGCCGAGACACATGAGAGGCAGAGAAATCAGGTAAATGGGTCGTCGACCATCTGGAAGGAAGTTTGGTAAGTGTTACTAATGAGAGTTGGTTGTTTCAATTTTACAGAATCGAGAATATGGAGCCCAAATAAATGCGGAGATAGAAAGGATAAACATGTAAAGCCCGACGGTGAAACTAGGAAAATTCAGAATATTAAAGTAATAATATACCAACGCCGTGCTTACTTGATTACTTCCCCAGTCGTATTTAAATCCTTCGCCACTTCCGGGACACATGGAACAAATGAAC